CGGACAACGAGGAGTATGTCCCGTATCAATGAGATGCACTTACTGGCATCTCTCTTGATTCTGCACACTCCTATTGGCTCCTCCTCCTTCCCTGCCTCACTCTCCTTGTCCCTCCCTGCATCTCCCGGTAATTGCACCCCCTGACAAAATAGTAATACAGAATCCTTTGCATTGGACTCCACTTTCAAGAAAACCCAGGCTCAGGCTGCTGTAACACTCGCAGGTTCAAATGTACTTATTACACAGAGAGAACACATATACCAGACATTTTACATATTCCATTTCACTTAATCTTCACAGCAATCTTGAGAGTGGAATAATTATTTCTGCCTTCCAGATAAGGAGACAGGATCAAATGAGTCCAAGGACTTTCCAGAGGACATCCAGTTTATGTGTAATACAGCCAGATTTGGAACCAGGAAATGTCTAACTCCAAAACTCAGTCTCTGTCCTCTCACGGCCTAGGTCAGCAATAATAAAAATGAATGCTCAGAGAGAAGACAGTGCCTCCTCTTATGTCACTCTGACATAATCCCCTTTGCATTATTAGTGGTTGGTTTTCACTTTAAGATTTTGTTTTTCTTTTTAATATATAATTTAGTACACAGTGTATTATTTAACAGGTAAATACTGTAGGAAAGTTGAAGGGAACAATAGAGTATTTTCCAGGAACCTACTTAGGATTCTATCATTCTGAAATGGGTGATAGAAGAAATTGAAGTATTCTCCCTTTTAAAACTCAAGATTTAAGAAGTAAATACAAAGATAAAGTATAAAGTCAGTTCATTAAAATATTTTCTATTTCAGAAAATAATTTGTTTTAAAATAAATTCAACACAATAAGAGGCATGAAAGAAGAAAAATACAAAACTTTATTATATAAAGTTTGCTTATGTCACCAAATAAACTAAATGGCAATAGAGTAGAAAGAAATATAAGCCATAAAGGAAGTGAGAAAGGTTAAAGGGGTCAACAGTAATTAAATGGTGACTGAAGCTGAATGGAAATTGATCTGTATTAGCTGGAGGCCATTCCTGTCTTTTAGAATGTTATGCATCAGTGAAGAAAGAAAAGAAATGTTTCTGCTATTTTGACATGAAAATCTGTTATTTCAGAGTCAAGGTTGCTATTCAAGAAAGCAGTAGATTCTCCGCACACACATTCTAATAATCTACACCTGCTGGCAGGTATTGAAATAGATAAGATCCTTTAATAAGTCTCTGTGGGGCAAAGAGTCATAAGAACTTCATTGGTTACTGGCTGTTTACCCTCATGAAAGCTTAAGGCAGATTGACTCAATCCAATGCAAATAGTGACAGCTCTAGCTATTAGCGGATACAGCCTCTGATGCATGGTCATCTGTCCCCAGGGAAGTATCTGCTCAATAGGGACTCAGCTGACAGCAGGAGGCTGAAAAAACTTGTGCCCTACTTACAATCCTGTCATGGTGTTGCTTCTGGATATTAGGGCTTTCTGATTTAACATATCTAATAGGAAACAAAGCTGAGTGATGTTTATAATTTTTATTATGAATGCTAACATTCCAAACAATCAATCACTATTATAAATGATGATGACAGTGACTACCATTAATTCAGTGCCTACTTTATTCTGGGTTTTTTAAATTGCTGTACTTAAACTCCGCAAGACAAGTGTTATTGTTCAGACTTTCTACGTGAGGAAAGTTCAAAAGAAATAAGTTACTTGCCTAAGACAAAGGCTGAAATAATAAAACTAACCTACGTTCCTCTCTGTTCTGTCCATTATACAATGTGGCTGCTGATTCTCTCCCTGAAGTCTAGAGAAGCATGGGCGGCCTTCAGTAAAAATCTTACAGGTTACCAAAGATATATTACAGAGTGGAGTTAACAGGCATGCTTGGAGTGGTGAAGAAACAAGATTTGGGTCATTACCATAGAGCATGGCTGAATCAACAACAGCAGCAACAAAAATAACAGTTGATTAACTGTAATATGTGAGCCACAATCTTTATCAATTGATGGGAAAATGTATGGTCAATCCTAGAAGGCCATTCATTCATTGAACATCCATTTGCTGAGTGTATTCTAGGTGTTAGAGTTGCGCCAGGTGCTGGAGTTAATGACATAGCTAGAAGGAGTTTTGATATTAGTAGTACTCATTACATCAGAATGCTGTTGTGCTTATGGTAACTACTCTAATTTTTAGCAGTCCAATACAAATGGTCGGCTAGGGCAGGTATTTTAATCTGAATAAAGTTTATAGATCTGCATTTTGATTCTCAATGTAACTCTCAGCTGAAAGCACCTGGAAGTCTAGGTTCTTTTTATAGACAGTCATAGAAGACCATGGCAGAAACTCCCAGTTTATTAACAAGCCTATTTCCTCTTCTTTCTGGACACATGATTAGAATACATTTCCCAGCCTCCCTTGCAGTTGGATGTGGCCATATGACTGAGTTTTTTGCCAACGGGAAGTCAGTGAAGGTAATGAGCACCATGTATTCCCCTGGTCCATGGACATTGTCCATGAAATTTTTCCTCCATGCTTTTTCCCTGGTCTCTGTCTTAATGCAGATGAGCCTAGTGACCCTAAAAAACACATGTGAAAGATATCAGGGCCATACATATAAAGAATCTGTGATGCTGAGTGGCTACTTGGAAGGCCACCGTTCTTAGAATCCCAAATTGAACAATTATATGAGGAAGAAATCAAGTTAAGACACTGAAATTTGGGGAGTTATTATAGCAGTTAGTATTATTTTAATACAAATACTAACATATGTGTTTGACAATATTTATTTGAGCACTATTACATAGTTAATTTCCTCTTACCTAATTCTAATTCAACCAGCAGATAATATGATTCTATTATTACTTATAGGTCTTCTAATTTCAATAATCAGTAATGCATGAGCTATTTCAAATCACATTTCTGAGATTTTCTCTTACTACTGATTTGTTGTTTGGACATTTATGTTGTCCTCCACTTGGATTAGATGGCAATCAAGTAAGGTAATCAACAGTGAGGTATTTTAAAACACAACAGAAAAATATTAAGTTGAGAACCTAAAGTTTGTGGCTAATGAAAGAGAAATTCTGTGGCCTGGGAAAAGACTTTCAAGTATTTTGTTTTGACTGCCTCAAACTAATGAAAGGAAAGAACATCAATATCCTGGAGAAACACAGTGGGGACTGGCCTGCAGGAGCAGAATGTGAGATCCCTTGACTGAATTCTGAATATCTCAAAGGAAATGATGTTGTTTCGTCAGTTCATTTAAAGATTTGAGACAAAGAAAGCTAAGCCAACTCACCAGGTAAGCCAAGTCACCGGGTGAAGAGCAAGAACTCCTGGCCCCTTTCAAATTGGAGGCAGTCAGGTGTGGCAGAAAGAGCATGGACTTTGGCATCAAACCCTTCTATGAATCCTCACTCTTCCACTTGCTGGTATTCAAGTTTCTTTTAACAACCTTGAATTCCAGTTTTCTCACCAGTAAACAGGGAGTGATAATATCCACCTCTCAAAAACACTGTGAGGATTAAAGACAAACTTTCTGAAGTGCTAATAACTAAACTATCTCTAAGTATGGTAGTTAGTATGAGATTTATTATTAATTCCTTGCCCTATGTTTGTAAAAAGCACACAAAGAAAGCTTGAACCAATTGCACCAAGGTACAATATAAAACAACTAAACATTTAGGCTACTGGCTTTACAGTTTCCTTTTCTCATTTGTGCCACGACAAATTTTAGTTCATTTTATTCTGTATCATTCAACAATTAAGGCAAAATCATGGCAACCATTTCTAATAATCTCTTAGAAATGCTATTCAACAAATATTTCTCAAGGGGCTTCAATACGTAATACTTTGTGCTGGTTTCTAAATATGTTGAATACTGCATTTTATTTGGTTCTCAACAGTTATTTGTAACCCTCTATTGTCATCAAGATAAAGAATTACCCTCTCTCAGGAGAATGGAGACTTTTTTTTTTTTTTTTTTTTTTTCTTTTAAAGAACTACTTCAAGGACCATTGAGAGATAAAGGTGTTTGTTGCTATCACTGCTATAAACTTATTCAACTCTCAGTGTCCCCTAGTGATGTATACTACACAGATAAATGAGCATCTTTAAAATACTTAGAAGCATAAGTGGAAGTTAATTTGTGTAATGTGTATTTTTAATTATTTGAAATTGTAGAATAATACTAAAATTATTGTAAGAAGTAGCAAAGAATAAAGAACGGGCAAAGAATTAACTTTATTTCTGCATGTCACAAAGTGAATATATTCTAATATTCCCTTGACCTGAAGTTTACCACAGACTTAGAGGACAGTATGTTTGGTTTGGGCATGGTGTAATTTTAGAATGTATGTTTTGTATTGCGGTAATCTTAGAATGCAAGCTTTCTCAAGGCTGGGACTGTCCAGTCTTGCAGATGCTTTAAGCTCTAATTAATCAAGGCTTATTCTTTGATTATCCCAATATTTGTGCCACACCAACCTTGTGGTGGACTATCACCATGGTTATCATTAATCACCACTACTGAGGGAATCAGATAAGACATCCTGTTCATCCCCCACCTGCCTGAATTCCATCCTTGACCTGACGAAGAAGAACAGTGAAGATAGGAAGCTGTAGTAGGCAGGTTTGTAATACCCAGGTAATATTTCATATTAGCAATGATAGTAGCTCCTGTCTTGCCTCTTCCACAAACTACTTAGAAAGGCACTTCTGCTGTACATCTCTTTGGAGAGCAGTGGTGATCTGAAGAAATGCCTCCTCTTGAAAGAACTCTTTTTATTCACAGTAGAATACTCTTGAATTTTGCAGATCATCAAACACACAAAAAAAGGTTTTTTTTTTAATAGTTGAGGAAATAAGCCTAAAGAAAATGTGTACCTAATCCTATTAGCTGACTTAATACAGAATTATTAAAAGCCTTGATATACAGGATTTAACACAATCTTTCTAGCAGGGTATGATGTAATCTGTTTTTGTTCCTCAGCTAGCAGATGGCTTACCTTTAAGTAATTTCCAATATGTTAAGAGATCAAAAGCCATCCTCTTGCCACCGAGGCAGTAATCGTTCTTCTCTGCTGGGGGTTGCTTGGTCCTGTGGTAAGGATATGCAAAGGCTCCTGGCATTTCCAAAGATAGAAGGGCGACATTTCTTCAGACTTTGAAGTTAATAATCCTTCAGAAGTTGAAAACTGAGGGATTTTTCAAAACCCTTTTAATGTTCTATATGCCATGTGTGAAAGTAAATATCTGTAAGAAATCACTGAGGGCTGGTGCTATGCTTGGAGGAGCACTCTGCAACTTTGTGTGTCACGGACTGGCACAATCTCTTATTGCTGAGGTGTGGAGAGATTATGCTTCCATTCAGTAATGTTCTTTGGAGATTGACTGTCTTCAGAAGGAGGCTGGAAATAAATGTATAATTCATTGAATTTTACAATGCAATGGGCCATTGCTGAGCTCACACTACTGCAGTATTGACAGGCCTAGCCTTGTAATCAAGATACGACTCTTCCTAAGCTTGGAAGCTTTCAGGTGCATCCTCCAGCATTTGTCCAGTTGCTGGAAATGATCTAGTGGTGAAGAATGCAGTACATTTGCATTGGGGATTCTATTTGATCTTCTCTAAGAGAGAAAAAAATGTTTTGTACTTCAACATTTTAATATGTTCCTAATGGATCCAGAGCACAGAGCATTTTTCAAAAATCAAATTCAGATTTTCATGACACGCTGAGTCATAGAACCCTGCTGAATTTAAGTTCAGACAAGCCTAAGTATCTCAGGGTCTGTTACCACCTTTGCTTAAGGCTCTTGCTTTTGATACAGAGAGGTTTCATTTTATTCCTTGGACCAGTTATTTTCAGACTACTTAAGAGAAAAGTCTCAGTAGGAAAAGATATTCCTAGGCATACAGGAGGCCTAAGGTTGGCTCTTCCCTTAGAGATAAAACAGATTTTTTTAACTTATGTAGTAGGCTGCTCTACTATTATCCCCTCTTCCTTCTTACCATTTTGGTTTATGCATTTGATAGTTGGGATGTTGCCAGGCTATGGATGGATACATGAACATCTACTAGTCATCAGAAAAGACACAAGGAGAAAACATGAAATAACTCTAGAGATGTGCAAAAGCCTGCAGGCACCAAGTTTCACTTGGAAAGGAGATATGAGTAAATGGCCTGGGGACAACCAAAAGGATGAGATGGAAACTTGAAATGTGATAATATCATTTTATCCCTACACAGAAAACCATGCATGAATGGAGAGAACACATTTTCCCAAAATAGACTCACTGACTTGTTTGGAGCTAAAAGTAATATTTGCTCCTTGTTCTAATCTGCAGCCAACAAGGTACAATAATATTCCTTAACAATCTCTGAAGATTACACCTCAAGTATTCTGCAATGTATTTTCCTGTTTATACTTTTCTATTACTTTAGATATCCTGAAATAATTGATCTAAGCAATAAAATAAAACTCTTCATATCAAAAGCAAGGGCTAGTGAGAGTTGGATGTATTATTTATAAAGATTCTTATGTAAATCCCCCACTTATACATTGAGCTTGTTCCCTTTTTTCCAGATTAATCGCAACCCAACTGCTCCCCATTCTGTCTGGGATCTCTTTTCTTGTGCTTAAAAACCAGGGTTATGTCTTTGCTTTCTTCTCTTCAGGATAAATGGATCCATAATTTCTTTAACTTATTAATTTTTGAGACAGGGCCTCAGTCTGTCACCCAGGCTGGAGTGCAGGGGTGTGATCATAAATCACTGCAACCTCAAACCCCTGAGCTCAAGCAATCCTCCTGCCTCAGCCTCCTGGTTTTAGCCAGGACTACAGGCACAAGCCGCCACACCCAGCCAGTATCTTTATATTCTTAGCACGGTCTCCCTATGTTGCCCAGGCTGGTTTCTAATTCCTAGCCTCAAGTGATCCTCCATCTGAGCCTCCCAAATTGTCTTTAATTTATTGTTATTTAATGCCTCCTGCTTACTCATGGGTCATCTCTAGGTTCATTATACTCCAAGTTGTGAATGAGAATGTAGAATGTGGTAATTCAAGTAGAAGACTGAGACTATGGCAGGCCATGGGTTTGTTCTTTTTAAAGTCATGTATAAAAGATAGTCTGACTTTGAATGAAATGTCTAAAACCTAATCATAAATGCCCAAAGAGCCTAAGAAATGGGTAATTTTGGGAAGTCAGTGATTCTATTTGAAAGTTGGCCTATTAGCTTGTATAATAATTGCCCCATCTTCTGAGACTAAGGTAACATACTCAATTGTCACTGGACTAGGTAAGTGAGATTGGTGTTAGGAATGGGAGGGCAGTAGTCACAGAAAACAAAAATCAAGAATACAAATGAAACTAGAGTTACTGCTCAACTGCTCAGCATTGACATAGTGTGGTTGCAAAATGTCAGGATCTGTAATTTGTTTGCCCCTGAATATGGCTGAACACTTAGAAAATAGTTGCTTAGTTATTCTCCTTCACTCAGAAGATTCAAGGCTTGAAGTTCCTGGGCTTCCTGTTGGGAGAACTGAGGATGAGGCTAAGTGGGAGGGTTCTACCCCCTCTGCTTCCATGGCTTCTTTGCAATCAGAGCAGCTCTGCATACCCCCTCTGTTCATCTTCTGTGGAAGTTACAATAAACAATAATTTGCCACTGCCTAATTATTCAGTTCCCCTCTTCCATGGGGGTGTGTCCCACATCCCAGTTGTACCTGAACCACGGTTAATCCATAAATCAGCTAATTTGACATTGGACAATGTCAAATTGATTGTATAAAGTACTTGTTGGATAATTGGGCATCTAATTTTTAAACATGAGAGAATTTTAGGTCATGCACCAATATGACACACATCTCACAAAAAAAAAACCGTGATGACTATTAGAGAGTTCTGGGTTCTTTGAAAGGAAAATACTGCATAAATCACAAGAACAGGTCTTTTCTCCTGGCTTCTTGTGGCATATCAATATACTCACTCAAGCAGGGTGAAGAGACATATTCTCTCTAAGAGAGATTACCCTGCAGAGTGCTGACAATCACCTGTCTCCTACCTCCACCCTCCCATATCACATGCCAGGGAGTGGGTTAATTTTCTGCACCTTGAACTTAGACTTTGAATTCCTATTCTCATCCCTTTGTTAACGTTACAGGAAAAAAATCCCTACCTGTAGTGAATGCAGAATCACAGTGCCAAGAAACATTTTTGGAGCTCAATAAATTCATCTCTCTGCCTTTCTGCAGGACTGTGCCCCTTGCCACCAGATCTAGAGCTCCTGGGATTTTGAGGCAGTGTAGAATGAATACAGGATATCTATGCCTACAGCACACAGTCAAAAACTCAGCCCAGCAGTGAATGCACAGCACTTTCTGTATTCCTACTGTGCCCTGAGTAAAGACTTTTCACTTCATACATCATTCACAACTTGCTACAGGGATTTCACAAAGCCAGTACATACCCTTTACACAAAGAAAAGAAGAAAAAGAACAGACCTGGGAAGGAAAGGAAAAAGGTGTGTCTGCCAAGTGTAGCATTATCAACAGGGAAATTAACAAGGCACAATTTAGTTGGGGATGTTAATCAAATAAACAAATGGAGTTTCTCATTCTGTTCACACATTTGAAGAAGCCTAAAAATGTGAGTCAAACATGGTTAGAAAGTTTCATTTCCTCCCTGGGCTCTGGTGCCATGAGAAGCAAGGCAAAAGACAGGGAAATTGGAAGCTACTTTTCCCCTAGAGAGATCTGGTAAACAGATGCTGAGGTAGTCCTACCATCTGGCTTACAGAATCCTGGGGTCCCAGAGGAAGGTGCCACCTGGAGGTGCTGGAGATACTGTCAGTGCTGGGTAGCAGCCTCTGTGGACTGAGGAGAGAGATCCTAAGCACACAGAGGAAGAAATGCCTTCAGTTGAATCCTTGAATGTCCCAAGCCAGGATTTTTTTCCACAGCAAAGTAGAGGGACAGCTTATTTCTTGCTAATCCTTGAGGGATTTACCCTTTTTTTTCCCAAAAATGATTCCTTCTGAGCCTTATCATTTATTTTCTGTAATAGCCACTTCTACTAAACAGTTAACTGCAATCTTCCTCCTCCTCCCACAATTCTGTGTTATATTACATTCTAGTTGGATTTCACAGTAGCTTGATGGGCAGATTTGCATAGGAGAAATTAAGCCATAGAGAATTAGTCAGAAGAATTAATCAGAGATAGAGTCATTAGTTTCTAAGTTGTGAATTAATTTAGGAAAACCACTGGATATGTCACTTTCATTGTCTTTTCCTCTTGAGAAATAAAAAAAAATGTTTATTTTTGAAGGTTGGCAGGAAAGATCTGGGACTGTAAGCCTGTGCTTTGATATTACTGAGTCATCTTAGGCACCAATGGCTCACTCCATTCTCCTCTCCTCTCACATTCTCACCAACTCATTCATGAAGAAATGAAAGGCAAGTTGTTCTCTTTGTCTTGTCTAGAAGCCCATGTTCACTGATCCAGGATCACCATTCGAGTTGTAAACGCCAGGTGTTGAGTGTTTAGGGTTCTAGGACAGGTCACCTATTCTTAGCCTACCAGCCCAGGAGCTCCTCCCACACTGCAATGCAGCAGGCTCACGAAGAACCTCAGATGACAGCTGATCTGGGTAATGTACATGGCCTGTACTTACTGGCCAAGTTCTGCTCCTTTCTTGACTATAGTTTTCCCGGTCCCTATCTTTTCCAGCTCTTTTCCCTGGTCTCCTATATCCTCCTTTCCTGTTCCCAAGCTTTGGGACATCTATTGAGGTGCCTCTTTCTGGATCACTAAATGTAACCCACAGCCTCCTCAATCCCAACTCTGAGCTTGACCCACTTCCCTGACTTGGGAACACTCCACAGTTCTGAGCAGAACCCCTCTATTAAGCCAGCCTTGGGGATCTTGTCAGTTCTGATTTCATTTATCCAGAAAAGGGATTAGGTATTTTTAGGTTTGCACTAAACAGCTGGAGGTTGAGTAGAAACATCTCATAGAACTCTGAGTTCAGCTTCTTTTCCCCACACAAAGGGTCAGTTAGTTCTGCAAAAGCAAACTGAGAACTAGAAGATCTTTGGGGAGAACCGAGCTCACTTATTTACTTATTTAGCCATTAATTAATTCAATAAATATTTGTCAGTTTACCACTATGTGCCAAGCATTATGTTGAACTTTAAATGCTGGTCCTCCCCATATTTGTGCTTCTAGAAGGATGTGGCTAATGCCTTGCTCATATAAACAGCTTTGGAATAAAATAACCATGAAGTATTGCAATTTTGTGTGGGAAATCTGCATGCAATCAAGATGTCTGATTGTTGCCGTGACCCAGATGCCAACAACATATTGCTGCAAAGATCACCATGGCAGCCTGCTTATAGAAAATGTTATATAT